TTACTTTTTGGAAGGAACAGCTCTTTTTATTGTTTTCACCAATTTATAATTTTGTACTATTTTTGGGTTTGCAGTAACATAAGTTTTTTGCTTCAGATTCACAGAATGATTACATCATGCCAACACGAGGAAGGCATGTCTGTAGCTGAAATTAAACAAAAAGTTAGAACATCAGAACAACAAATCAGGTGAGGTTGGCCTTCACAGTGTGAGGCTAAGCATCGTTTAGCCAAGAATCAAGGATATTTGGTTTATGCCAGAAACAATGAGAATACTGACAGAAAATTTTGCAAAATGTGAATTGTTAGTCAAAACCCTGGATGGAAAAAACAGGGAAAGACTTTCACAGTGTCTTTGTCAGTGCCTTTACATCCTAAAATCAGTATGCTTATTTTATGTACTGTTTTTTATACATTTCCCAGGGTGCTGACAAGGAAAATTTGTGTAACAATCAAGAGCTTCTTCATTTGAGGATTATTCCTTTATTCTCATGACCTCAACGTTTGATTCATGGGGTGATATTGTAAGGAGAAACTAGATGCTGGTCACCCTTTTGGCTTAAATCTGAATTGTTAGTCAAAACTCTGGGTGGGAGCAAACATTGAAAGACTTACACAATGCCTCCATGAAGCTCCTTTGTTTTTTTTTCTTTTTCTTCTTTTTTAGGAGTACTTTAGAGTGGCTCAGCAATGAAGGCCACATCTATTCCACCATAGATGATGACCATTTCAGATCTACGGACAGCTATTGAGAAGATTTAGGTCCACTTCCACTTTTCACTTGCTGCAGTAACACATGCAACCATAAGATCATGACAGACTACAGTTGTTTAGCCCAAATAGCTGAGATACAAAAACACTATGCTATCATACTGAAGTAGCAAGAAGACCTCCTCACTTTGCTATGCAAGTCTGTTACCCATCTTATTCCATACCTGACATATTGAAAAGAACACATGATTCTTAGTAGACACTTAGTTCTGTTTTGTTTATTTGGTCTTTGTGTTTGTTTGTTTGTTCATGTATTTTCAGCATTATCTTGTTCTCATGTTGGTCTACATTTGATATCACTTAAGTGTTAGTATATTTAGTGTTTAGTGGGTTGTCCTCAATAGTTAAATGAATTTTATTACCTGCTGAAAATTTAACAGTGATAATCATGCATGAAAGATATAAATTCTGTTTTGTTATAGTTATTTGTAAAAATGAGCCCTGGTTATGTGGGTACCCTTTGATAGTACCAATGCAAATGCAGATAAGCAAACAACTATCCTAACAATGAACGAAACAAACCTAACCTTATTTTCAACAGGTTATTTGCAGTCTCTTTTAACTGCGATTTTTAGTCCTTGCAACTGCAGTCTCGATTGGGTCACTGAGTTGCACTTTCAGCGTTTTTTGTTATTCATTTGTAATAATCATGCAGGTCAGGATAGGTTGAGCTAAATGAGTACAGAAAGCAAAATATTTTTCCTACTGAGCTGTTTGCCTAACCTTTTGTACAACACAATTAAACGCAACGTAACGTGGAGAAGTAGATACTTTTGTCCCATATATACAGTAATATTCAACCCTTTACACCCTAATATCAGTATGCATATTCTCCATACTGTTCTCATTGTATTTCATGAGGTGATGTCACGGAGAACTTGTTTAAAAATCAGGGGCTTTTCTGTTGGGTGATCATTTCCCTTATTCTCATGACTTCAATGTTTGAATGAACAGTGACACTGTAGGGAGAATTAGAAGCCAATCACTTTTAGGGATTAAAGGGTGAATTGACGGTTATTTGGCATCGGACTTCAAGTTTATGAAACCTTACTAAGCTTGTCTACACTTGAAAGAGGGTTCCAAGATGTCGCCGGTTCCAAACGTATCCATTGAGATTGGCTATTTCCCTTATCCGATAGGCTCTGAACGTAAACCTTACTTTGTCAAAACTGAGAACGGCAAAAATGATTTGCCAGTGTTTCTGCAAGTCTCACTTCCCAGACTTGGTCATCGGCTTTCTTATTTCCGCTCAAATGTCCAGTCACGTTACGTTTCTATTTTCATTTCAGCACAACGTTGGTGGACACCCTTTTTTTGGTCACTTTTTCCGGCAAGGACTTTACTATGTTTCTTTCGAGATTGTATTCCTTAAATGCTGTTAGCTTTCCTATTTTCCTGTGAGATAGAGATCTCGAATGGATTAGATTTAAGACACTTGTTTTGCTGTTTGATATGCACCATGTCCACTCAAGATATTCCACCTCCACGCATGGTACAAATTTGAGTAGACAGTACAAAAAACAGGTTAAGTTTAGTATGCGAAATTTTG